GAGATAGAGTCTCACTCTTGCACAGGTTGGAATGCAATGGTGCAATCTTGGCTCACTGCAACCTCCGCCTCCCGGGTTCAAGTGATTCTCCTGTGTCAGCTTCCCGAATAACTGGCATTACAGGCATGTGCCACCATGCCCAGCTAATCTTTGTATTTTTAGTAGACATGGGGTTTCACCATGTTGGTCAGGCTGGTCTTGAACGCCTGACCTCAGGTGATCTACTTGCCTCAGCCTCCCAAAGTGCTGGGAACACAGGTGTGAGCCCGTGTCTGGCCCTTCATTCTTGATACGATTTCTGGGTACACAATTCTAGGCTATCACTATTTCTCCCGGGACTTTGAAGATATTATTGACTTTCTTTCTGGCTTCCACTGTTGCTTTCAATAAACCACTTATTTTCTTCTTTCCAGATAATCTTTTTCTTTCCTGCCTACCTTCAGATCTCTTTGTCACCGGCTTCTGCATTTTCACCAAGACATGATTGTCTAAGTACAGCTTTCTGACTATGCTGCTTGGGAGCCGCTGGATTCCTGAATCTAAGGAGCAGGGGCTCCCGCAGGTTTGGAAAAGTTCTCAGCCGTATTTCTCTGAATACTTGCCATATTCTCTTTCCCCGCCTTCTGGAATTACTGTAAACTGCAGATGCTATACTAAACTGCCTTCTTGTCCCCAGACCATCTCATCTTTTCTAGCTCTTTCTGTGTTGCACTTTGGGGTCATTTTCTTCAAATAGCTCCCGATTCTTCAGGAAAGACATCGTGGATTATTTTTTAGAAAATTCCATTTTTATTTCAACAAGTTCTCTTTTTAAAATCTGCTTGGTCATTTTTATAGCCTCTTGCTTCCTGCACATAAATTCCTTGTTTTCTTTAAATATATTAAACATTCTCATTCCGTGTGATGTGTCTGCTTACTCTAGGATCAGCACATTGATGTGTTTGCTTCTTGTCTTTTTGCTGGGCCTTGCTTATGGTATTGCATGTGTGTGCGTGCGTGCGTGCGTGCGTGCGTGTTTACAATTTATTTCCTGTACCTTAGGATGTTTTGACATGTTTTTTAAAAAAACCTTCTGTGCTGTTTCATGGTAGTCTCATCAAAAAAAAAAAAAAAAAAAAAAAAAAAAAAAAAAAAAAAAAAAAAAAAAAAAAAAAAAAAAAAAAACTCTTCTGGCTGGGAGACTGCCCCTCCAGGCCAACCAGTCCTTAGAGATAAGGGCCCAGCTGGGTGCATGCCTCTGCAATGCAACCTCATCAGTCCACAGCCCACCTCTATCTGGCCAAAGCACTCAGGCAGCCAGCAACCACTCCTACAGCTTGGAGCCCATGGAAATCACTCCAGCTGGCCAGCTGCCCACCCACCCTGCCTTACCTTTCCTGGGGAAGCCCCAGGGAAGGTCTGGCCGAGGCTCTCCAGGGCTCCTGCCTGTCCCCTCGGGCTGCACTTGACTGATCGTCTCATACTAGAACACAGAACAGGGAGCTTGTCTCCTTGGGACTGGAAGATGAGGATGATGATTTTATAGTGAACGTACACTTCTTGGGATGTCTTCTAACTGATGTCTTTCTGTGCTGAACTTTGGGGTCATTTCTTCAAACAGCTCCCGATTTGGAGGTGAGTTTCTCAGTTTCTACACTGTGTCTGCCATGCTCCAGGAAATACTACCAACTGCAACTTCTTTTTATTCTTTGTTTTGAGACAGGGTCTTGCTCAATTGCCCAGGCTGAAGTACAGTGGCACAATCATGGTTCACTACAGCCTCCACCTCCTGGGCTCAAGTGATCCTCCCACTTCAGCCTCCCGAGTAGCTCAGACCACAGGTGTGCACCACCATGCCTGGCTAATTTTTTTTAAGAGACAGAGTCTTGATATGTCGCCCAGGCTGCTCTCAAACTCCCGGGCTCAAGCAATCCTCTGGCCTCAGCCTCCCAAAGTGCTGGGATCACAGGTGTGAGCCACCACACCTGCCCACATATGGCTTTGAAAGGAAAATGTAAGCACCATACACTGTGTAAAAGTAAATCAGCTCAGAAACAGCGTCACCCACTGCACACCCTGCCTCATAAGCAGCAGCTGCACAACAAGCAATGTGGGCTCGGAGATTGGAGGGCAGACGTGGGGGATTCTGAAGAGTGGAGGCGGGCGGGGGGGGTGAGGGTGAGAAGCCCATACCGCACCACCATACACCACACCCATGTACCACAACTGCACCTCACACCACCAGTTCATACACGCACACATTCACACACATGCAATCACACACACACAGGTAATCACACATACACACTCACACACATGCAATGACACATACACATGCAATCACACACACACAGGCAATCACATACACACATGCAATCACACACAGGAAATCACACACACACATGCAATCACACACACACAGGCAATGACACATACACATGCAATCACACACACACAGGCAATCACATATACACATGCAATCACACACACAGGCAATCACACACACTTACACATATGCAATCACACACACACACAGGCAATCACACACACAATCACATACACACATGCAATCACAAACACAGGCAATCACACACAATCACACACACACAGGCAATCACACACATACAGGCAATCACATACACACATGCAATCACACACACACAATCACACAGGCAATCACACACACTCTTACATGCAATCACACACACAGGCAATCACACACACAATCACATACACAAATGCAATCACACACACACTATCACACAGGCAATCACACAGACTCTTACACACACGCAATCACACACACAGGCAATTACACACACTCTTACACACACGCAATCACACACACAGGCAATTACACACACACAATCACATACACACATGCAATCACACGCACACACAATCATACACAAACACACACAAGCAATCACACATGCACATTCTCACACATGCAATCACACAGACACACAGGCAATCACACACACAGGCAATCACATACACACATTCTCACACACACATGCTCATACAGGCAATCACACACACACAGGCAATCACATACACACACGCAATCACACACACACGCAATCACACGCATACATACACACAGGAACTTCCTAAGTTTTTACAAAACTAAAGCAGACGGAAGAGCAGCACAGTTTAGGAGCAGCCGCACCAGCTCTCAGCAGGTCCCAGTGCTCCTGAACACAAAGCCCGACCCTGCTGATGCGCTTCAGGGTCTGCTTCCAAGTCCTCGAGGCCTGGTCCTCTGAGAGGACTAAGGACATTCTGGTGAAAGCCGATTTGGTTTGTACTACAGAGGAAACCTTTTGGTGCCTGACACTTTCCTTTTTAAAGATACAGAAGAGACAGGGTGTGGTGGCTCACGTCTGTAATCCCAGCACTCTGGGAGGCCGAGGCGGGCAGATCACAAGGTCAGGAGTTTGAGACCAGCCTGCCCAACATGGTGAAACCCCATCTCTACTAAAAATACAAAAATTAGCCTGGCGTGGTGGCGGGCGCCTGTAGTCCCATCTACTCGGGAGGCTGAGGCGGGAGAATCACTGGAAGCCGGGAGATGGAGGATGCAGTGAACCGAGATCACGCCACTGCACTCCAGCCTGGGTGACAGAACAAAACTCCATCTCAAAAAAAAAAAAAGACACAGAACATGGAATGTGTGTGTTTGAACTGAACCAAGTATTTTGATATCCTGACACCTGCAGAGGCCTGAAGACACTGACGGGCACAGGACCGCTCAAGCGGCGTCTCGCTCTGGAGGGGAGCCCTTCCTTCCTGGCTCACCTCCCAGCCCTCACCCGGCCACACCTGTGGGACCATTTGACAAGTCCAAGGCTAGGATGCTCCCAGAGGTTGCCACACTCAAGGAGGCCCTGCTGGGAACGCCAGGCAACCTCGGGCAGGTGAGGAAGCCGGGGCACTTTTGAGTTCGAGGCACAGACCCTTATTCCACAGGTCCACGCCCCCCATGCAGGAGACACCGGCTCTTGGTGACACAGGCCAGAGACACCACCTCTGGCTGAGCTGGAGAGAGAACTGGTTGGGAAGCTGCTCAACTGTCTCCATGCCAGTTTAAAGCAGCAGCCAGTGGGGCTGGAAGGGGGCAGGGATGCTGGTCTGGAATCCATCCTGTGCTGAGTATGACCTGTCCAAGAGGGGCTGAAGGCCACTGGCTCTCTGGACCCCAGGGTTCAGGGCCACCTAGCTGTTTCCTTGCCCATGGGAGAGCCGATGGCAGCGGTTGGGGCTGGACGGCCCTCCTCTCCCTCCAGCTGCAGCCACCTCCTGCTGTGCGTCCACTCCATGCCCTCCTCCTGGGTGACTGCAAGCTACACTGCAGCTCAGAGCTGCCTTTAGACCCCTGGCCCTGGCCCCAAAAGCGCCATAGGTGCAGGTTTTTAGAGATCACCTGTGGTCCCCCCGGCACCAGGATGGCCACACAGGCTCCCTGCCTGCTTGTCCCTCGTGGCCACCCAAGGTCAAGCGTGAAGACCCAAATGCCTGCCCCAGGCCCCCACGCCCTGCAGCCACACAGCTGCGCTCTGCAGACGTGGCGCCACACACCCAGCCTGGGCCTCTGAGGCCTCTCCTGGCCTGCCGCTGTGCCACGTGCTTCATCTGGTGTGTCTGGGTGTTCTCAAGGGACAGCTATTCCCAGGGTCCAGTCAACCAGATCCCAGAGACTAAGCCCCGGCCTCCCTCTCCCCCAAATGAAACTAGAGCTCCCAACAGGCTGCCCGTGGCTCACTCTTTAATAGATGCCTGGAAACATGGAGCTCGCACTTCAATGGGAAGAGGGAACCCAGTGGGTGAAGCGGAGGCCATGCCCCGTGGCTGACAGCTAGTCACTCTCACTGCAAACACAGGCTATGCAGAAACCCAGCACACACCGGTCATGCTAACTTCACCCTGCTGGCTCCTGAGCCCTGTGCCAGCCCCACCCACGCTCCTGGAGGGCTCTGAGGAGGGGTGGAGGTGGAGAAACAGGGGCAGTGGGCACAGCCTTCCGCATGGGATACCTGAAGGCTCAGCCCTGGTGCCCCGGTACAGAGGCGCACCTGGCTCAGGTGTGCAGCACGTGCTCCTCCATGTGCAGATGCCTATATGCCACCTGATCCAATGCCCCAGACCCCTCTGGACCACACACAACCCACCCTGAGGCACCCTGCAAGCAAGCAGGCAACTCCAAAGCCCCAGCCCCAGTGCACAGACCCTGGACAGCACCCAGCTTCCAGGCACAGAAACCAACCCCCGAGGCTCACGCTGGGCAGAGTGGGACGCAAGGCCCAGAGGCCGCCAGGGCTGGCCAGAGACACCACCGCATCCTCTCGGACAACCCTGTGTGGAGCCGAGACTGGCACCCAGCGCCTCCTGGGGCTTAGCACCCACATGGTGGGCTTCTCAGGCCACTTCTCCCCTCTGGGGCTACAGGATGTTCGGGGAGAAAACAACCCATGAGCTGGGGCCCCTGAGCATGGGCTGGGCCAGGCATGGCGCCGCCAAAGGGGACGTTCCCAGGTGGGAAGCAGAATCCCACCCAGCAGGCACAGCAGACAGATGGGACGGGAAGACCCCAGACAGAAGCCCCAGGCCCCAGCCCCCAGCCCCCAGCCTCCCCATCAGCCGGTGCCAGCCAAGGCTTCGGGCTACTTGGAGACCGTGGGCCACCAGTCTGGCACAGATGCAGCTAAGGCCACCTGAGCGCCCTTGGAGGTTCTGATGTGCAGAGGACCCTTGATCTTCTCTGAGCGCAGCAGGGCCAGCCCCACGTTGCCCTGGCCGGCCCTGTACTTGCCCACAGCCTGTCCTGACTCAGTTAGCACTGCCGCGCCTGGGGCGATACCACGGGTGGGAGGGGGGTCCAAGAGCCGGACAGGGAAGAGGCGCTTGCGGATGACGCCCATGTGGTGGGTGCGGGCAGTCAGCTCCTGGCCGATGTAGCAGCCTTTGGTGAAACTCACGCCGTTCATGAAGGCCAGGTTGGACTCCAGAGGCAGGGCCACCCCTGGAGGCAAGTCTCGGACACCCTCAGGAACCCCTGCAGAGATCGGACGGGGAAACCAGCGAGCATTGAGTGCATCCAGCCCCACCCATGCAATCCGGCCCAGCGTGCCCACCCAGCCCATACCTTGCAGGTACCGGTGCTGGTGATAATCCCACAGGTCCCCGAGCCGGCTCCCGGGAACCAGGGCTGGGCCTTCATTCTGGGTGAGGAGCCGCCACCCCATGCGTGGCGTTCGCGGGTCGCGGATGAGGATGGCGTCGGCCCCCGCCCTCTCCTGCAGCGGTGCGGCCCCGCAGGCCTCAGGGGAACCGGGTAACACCGCCCACACTTGTAGGTTCGGGTGCGGCTCCACCGTGACCTTCCGTCGGATCCTGTACAGCGCCAGGTGCTTCTGCAGCGCGCCCTGCACGGAGCTGTCACACTCCAGGAGGAAGCCAGACATCTCCTCCGAGTGCTCCCGGAGCCTGCAGGGAGACAGGCAGGGCACGTGTTGCCGGCTCACCAAGCGAATGGGCCAGAAAGGGCTGCCCCATGGAGCACGCCTTACCCAGGCAGATGACAGCACCAAGGCGGCCAACGCAAACAGCCCTGCCCTCAGCCACAAAGGGCTGCACCTTCAGGGCAAGCGCCTGGTCTCCGCGCAGGGGCCATGCCCACAGCTAGACGCGCACCGTGGAGACCAGTACAGAGCACGGTGCACACAGCCACGCAGAGCTGCGTGCTGACAATGAGCATCAGGGCCCGCAGGGTACACCCAGACCGGCGCCCGGAGAGCCCTGCCAGAGCTGCGCTACCAGAGCTCAGGTCTAAGTGTCCAGAAGCGAGCTCACCGAGCCAGCTCAGACAGACCCCGCCTCCCCAGGGACTACAATGGCCTGCCCAAGGGCACCGTCCAGAAAGCCTAGGGCAGAAATAACAGTTCGCTGGATGGGGGAGCAGGGCCAGGCAGGGCCCAGCAGGGGAACAGTGTGCACAGCCATTGAGAACCAGACCTGTCTCTTCCAGCCCCAGGAAGCCACTGGGGAGCTGGGGGTCCTAAGGTGGGCAGGAGAGAGGACCCAGGAGCCCAGGAGGCAGGTTGGGGAGGTGCAGCATGCCTGAGGCCCACTCTGCCTGTGCCTACCACCTGCTTCCCCAAGCCAAGTCTCAGATCCCAAATGGGTCCCCAGGCAGCCCTCCTCAGAGGATTTCCGCAGGCAGCACCACATGAATGACCCGACCAGATGGATGGCAGAGCCACTTACAGAGGGACACAGAGGAGAGGCCCAGGCAGCATGGGGCACATCAGGTGGGGACACCAAGTGGAGACACCTGGGCTGAGCCGCCTCCGTGGCCGGGGCTGACTGCGGGTGTGGACTGCACAGGGCTCCACAGCCCAGTGGGAGCTGAGACAGGGAGGTGGTAAGACCCCCCCCCCCCGAGAACCTGCCAGAGAGGAGCCCAAGAGCAGGTGGCCCAGCCCCTTCTGCCGGGAGAGGGCTCAGTCCTTGCCAGTCACACAGGCTTCAGGTGCCACGCAGGGGCCTGCCACCCTCATCTCTGCAGTCTCACTCCACCCTGTGGTCATACCCACGTGCCAGCAGCCACAGAAGCAGCAGCCATACATCTCACTGAGGACCCTGCCTCAGGGAGGGTGAACAGCGCCAACTGCCACAGCCAGCAGAGCCAGCCCACCCTCCAGGACAGCAACGGCACCGGCGAGGCAGGGGAACACACATCATTTACACACGTGGGCTGACTTGCCAGGAAGAACAGTAAGGACAGCACAGGGGGCAGCCGCAGGTGCGCTGCGAAAAGGTCACCACGCCACCAGGGAAAACAGACGCAGTGGCGGCACAGACCGCTGGCCAGCACGAGGAGAAACCAGGTCACTGGCACGCTGCTGGTAGAAGGCAGAATGGGCGCCCCTCTGGAAAACAGGGTGCAGGGCCTCACAACACCAAACTAGCAACTCCCCTGCGGCCTGACCCTTCACTCCTGGGCCTGGATCACCGAGGAACAAAGATGGCAGCTCACAGGAAACCTGCAGCGAAAGCCCACTGAGGCCAGCTCTACGGTAACGGCCAGAAAGGGAGAATCAAGTGTCACCACAGCACGGGGGACTTCTCAGCAAGAACACGGAGGAGGAGATGGACGGATGTGGGTGGATGTGAGGGCAAAGGCTTAGGCCAGTGCATACATCTATGACACTTCTGAGACGGCACAATTCTACAGCAGGAGAACAGGTTTCCGGGTGTCGGGGGTGGCCATGCAGAGGCAGGAGCGGGAAGCCATGTGGGCCTGATCATGGCCACAGGTATTCACAGTGATAAAATCGCAGCATTATACCTGTGGGTGCAGGCAGGCACACAGCAAGACACACAAATCCAGAGACCCCACACGTGCCCTGTGTGCAATCAGGGGAACTGGGGAGGGGTCTGTGCCAGCTCCTCCTACAGGTTTTTTTTTTTTTTTTTTGCAACTTCCTGTGAAATCTATAATTATTTCTAAATAAGATGTAGGGAAAAAAAAAACAAGAACCTTCCCCTGCAGTGTCCGAGAGCTACAAGAGAGGAGGCAGTGGGCAGTCCTTTCCCCCCAGCCGCCTGACATCAGTGAGTCCTTAACCACGTGCATGCATGTTTGTATTTTCAAAATCCACAGTGCGGTCAGCAGATGAAGACGGACTAAAACACAGGCAAGCAGGGGACCTGGACAGAGGGACACATGTGAGGTCAGGGCACAGGGTGCTGGGCACTAGACGGACTGAGCAGCACCAGGCTGAGTCACGGGACAGAGTAAGGGGACTGGAGTGTGGCTGAGGGACCGCAGGTCCAGGGTCTAGTGAGCCGAGACACACAGGCACAGGGGAGGCTGCAGAGCCCTACAGGGCAAGGGCAGGAGCTGGGGAGGAACAGGCAGGGTGGGGCCAGGGTGTCCCTTGGGTCTGTCGGTCCAGAGTGGGGCCCAGGGAAGTCCAAGCTTTGGGCCCCTGCACTCTGAGGTACGGCCAGCTCAGCTGCCTGCCTTGGCAGGGACCCCCACCCATGCTGACACCCCCTGCCACCCCCATCTGCTGGGCACTCCCTGACCTCACACAGGGTGGATGTCCTCACAGGACCCAGGTTCTGGGGTTGAGGGCACTATCCAGCCCTCTGTGCCAGTGACTGTCTACCAGGCAGCTTCTCAGCACCAACTGAGCTGGGATGTGACCCCGGGCCCACCCCAACCCCTGCCACACATGAAGACCACCAGGAGACTCGCCACAGGAGAGCCCCAGCGTGGGAGCTTTCTCAGCCTCATCGTTCTCTGTGGTGGGGGCTGTCCAGACGCTGAGCAGCACCCTTGGCTGCACCCCATCATAAGGGGCGCTGGGGACAGGGCTGTCAGAGAAAATACAGGGTACCTGGTTAAACTGGAACTTCACATCAACAACAAATGACTTTTTTTTAGTGTATCCCAAAGACCACATAGGACAAACCTACAGATCACCCGCTGCTCATCTGAGACAGACCTGGGTGTCCCATGCTTTTGTTTGCTGAGCCCGGAAGCCCCTCTGGGAGCGAGGACACAGGAAGAGGAGGGAGGTCCGCAGTGGCTCTGGTCCGGCCATCAGATCCAAGGGTTTCCAGTCATGTTCAGGAAAACGCTGCCCTGGGGCCTGGCCGGCCTCCTTCCCTCCTCTCTCCTCCCCCCTCCCTCCCCAGGCCACTGGAGGCCTAACAAGTCTCTCCTGCTCCTCAGTGCTGGCCAGACACAGGCCACAGCCCTGACACTCCTGGGGCTGCCGAGCCCTGGACGGAGTCCATGTTCTTGCCCCAGCCAGCCCACAGCAAGACCACCGGACCACAACCCTACCCACGACAGGAGCCCACAGCCTCTTTCTGCCTCCTACATGAAGACAGATCAAAACCAACTGATAGAATGGGACCCCAAGGAGGCTGGGCACAGTGGCTCATGCCTGTAATCCCAACACTTTGCAAAGCTGAGGCAGGAGAATGGCTTGTGCCCAGGAGTTCAAGAGCAGCCCAAGCAACACAGTGAGACCTCAACTACCTGCGGTCCTGGGAGGCTGGGTGGGAGGATCGCTTGAGCCCAGGAGTTTGAGGGTACAGTGAGCCATGACCGTGCCACTGCACTCCAGCCTGGGCAGTGGAGCAAGACCCTGTGTCTTAAAAAACAAAACAAAACAAAACAAAACAAAAAACTTAGACCCATACAAAAACCTGCACGTGGATATTTACAGCAGCTCTGCTCATAACTGCCGAAACCCGGACGCAACCAGTATGTCCTGTAGAAGAGTGACGAGTAAACTGAGGCCCATCCAAACACGGAGAACTAACCAGTACTAAAGAAATTAGCCATCAAGCTATGAAATAACATGGAGAAATCTAAACGTATACCAGTAAGTGCAGGATGCAAATGTGAAGAGGCTACAGATGCATGAGTCAACGACAGGACGTTCCAGAACGCGTGAAACTCTGGAAACACTGAAAACAGCAGCAGTGACCAGGAATTAGGGAGATGGATGGATGGGCAGGGCACAGAGGATTAAGGCAGTGGCACTACTCCGCGTGATGCGACAGTACGTTTGCCCAACTCATGAACGCACCACGCCAAGAGTGAGCCCTCATGGAAACTGTGCACTCCAGGTGATGGGAGCATGTCAACAGAGGTTCATCAACGGTGGTGAAACAGCACTCTGGTGGGGTAACATGGAAAATCGCTGTACATTCTGCTCTTTTGGCGAGAACCCAAAACTGCTATAACACAGAGCACTTACTTACTTTTTTGAGACAGAGTTTTGCACTCACTGCCCAGGCTGGAGTGGGATCTCGGCTCACTGCACCTCTGCCTCCCGGGTTCAAGACATTGTCCTGCCTCAGCCTCCCAAGTAGCTAGGATTACAGGCATACGCCACCACACCTGGCTAATTTTTGTACTTTTAGTAGAGACAGGGTTTCTCCATGTTGGTCAGGCTGGTCTCGAACTCCCGACCTCAGGTGATCTGCCCGCCTCGGTCTCCCAAAGTGCTGGGAATACAGGCATGAGCCACCGCGCCGGGCAGAACACTTACTAAGAATAGGAATTCAACGTAACTCGGACTCGAAGGGAAAAAGACAAAGGAGGAATGCAGAAATAAGGAAGGGAATTTGGGGACCAAAACTACATCATCACAAGGCTAACATGTGAACAACAAAGTACTGACACAGGAGGCCAAAGAGAATCAAAGACTGTAGTTCTTAAGATGAAAAAATTAAAGCAGCTAGATGGAATGTAATGAATGTATAAGACAAACAATGATGACTTCATCTCTGAACGGGGGCATGGAGATTTAAGCCTATTGAGCTGAAGTGGGCACACTTTCTATAAAGGGCCAGTGAATAACAGGCTTGAGGCCCATATTTGCGCCACAACTCTGCCACTCTAGAAAAAAGCAGCCCCAGGCTGGGCCTGGTGGCTCACGCATGTAATCCCAGCACTTTGGGAGGCCAAGCTGCATGGATCACCAGAGGCAAAGAGTTTGAAACCAGCCAGGCCAATATGGTGAAACCCTGTCTCTACTAAAAATATAAAAATTAGCTGGGTGTGGTGGCAGGCATCTGTAGTCCCAGCTACTCAGGAGGCTGAGGTGCGACAATCTCTTGAACCCGGAGGCGGAGGTTGCAGAGCACCAAGACAGCACCACTGCACTCCAGCCTGGGCAACAAGAGTGAAACTACATCTCAAAAAAAAAAAAAAAAACAGCCCCAGACCACAGAATCCAACGGGTCAGGGTCCCAAAGAATTTTATTATAAATACAGGCAATGGGCTGGGTCTGACCTGAGGACGCTATTTCACAGACTGTGGTTCTAGATTTAAAGAGCCCAGTAAGTGCCCAGCAATGTGATATGGAAAACGCCCAAACTCAGACACATTTCATGACATCACGGTTAAAGAAAAGCTTCTAAAAGCTTCCAGAGAAAAACACAGTTCATGTACAAAGGACTGGAAATAAGAACGGCACTAGACCCCTCAGAAAAGCTGGCAGCAAGAAAACAACGTTGTCATGTGAACATTCTCAGTGACAATTTCTAAGCTAAGATTTTTCCAGTCAGCCAGGATATCAGGTAAAGCCACTTGCAGAGACACAGTGAGTCCAAAAATTCACCCGACGTAGCTCAGGAAGTCCAGCATGAACATCACCGACAGTCGTGATGTTGTCAGCACAGATGACCGAGTCAAATGCGAATGTGCCAGCAATGGGGAGATCTGGGAGGGGACACAGAGAAACACAAGGAACACAGAACTCGGAGTGTCAGCACAAGCTGTCACTCAAAAACACCAGGCGGGGCCCCTGAGCCCCCTGCCCCTACGGAGGGAGAAGGTTCACCAGGTGGCCCACTTGGGAGGTGCCCACCTAGAGACGCCTCTGTTCTGATATGGTGGGCACCCAGGCCTCCTCTGGGTGAGTCACTGACCCATCCCCGGGTGTCAAGCCGAGCCTCTGGGTGCTGGGCCCTGGGTGAGCTTCCCCTGGGTGTCCATCCCAAGTGGAATCTTCTCGGTGGCTGCCGCTGGGTGCCAGTCTCTGGCCCACCCGCCCCTGAGCTTCCACCCCACCTCCCAAGCCCTCTGCAGGCCCCGGGAGCCCGCCCTGCCGCTGGGTGCCGGTCCCTGGCCACTCCCCTGGGTGCCTGCCCCCTGGGCGCCCTCCCCGCCCGCGCTCACCCGTACACAATGACGTCATAGAGCGTCCGGCCCTGCACGTTCAGGAAGTGAGCGTAGCCCGCACGCGGAGGGGGCGGGGCATCTCCGGCGGCGGGACCCGGAAGCGGCAGTTCATTGGTCAGCAACCCTAGCAGGAACGGCGCCGCGTCGGGGCCGCGCACGCGCAGCAGCGCGCGCTCGTCCAGCCGGAAGCAGGACCAGGCCGCTCCGGCCGTAGGGTCGCCGCTGCGACTGCAGGAACCCTGAGTCAGGCGGCGCCTCGGCGCTACGCGCAGTCGCCAGCTCCCGGCCGGGCCTCCGCGCCCCGGAGCCGCGCATCGAAGCAGCGCCGCGGCCGCCATCTTGGACAGGAGTGCAGTGGCGGGAGGGGCGCAAGGAAGCGGGAGCGGCGAGTGCTACAACGTCCCCTGGCGGTGGCCGCCGGAGGGGGGCGGGAAGGGGCGGGGCATCGCGGGGCGGAGCAGACGGAGCGTGCGTGCGTGAAGAGCTGGGCCGCCCGGGCTGGAAGGGGCGAGCGGGGCGAGCGTGCCTGCGGGTTGGGTGGGGCATCTGTGAGGGGCGGAGCATCATACGCGGGGTGTGTTTCGGGGGCGGGGACTTGGCCTGTCCGTCAGCGCGCAGGCTCCACCCCCCGCAGGTAGTGTGGTTTCTGCGCACCTCTTAACCACCCTCCGGTGCACGGTCGGTGCATTCCTCGCCTTCCCCCACCCGTGCCTGGCACCGCCACCCATCTCCAGAACCTCTTAATCCAACCTGAAACTCCCCGTTAAACACCCACTCCCCAACCCCTGGATCCCCATTCTACCGTCTGCCTCCCTGAGCGAGCCACCAGGGACCTCACAGAGCGGAGTCGTACGGGATTTGCCCTTCGCGACGGCGTATTTCACTCAGCATGGTACCCTCAAAGTCCGTATACGGTCTGACGTGTCAGCATTCCTTTTTTCATTTTTATTTTTTGTAAAGACAGGATCTGGCTATGTTGCCTAGGCTGACTTCGAGCTCTGGAGTTCAAGCAATCCTCCCGCCTCAGCCTCTGGGTGGCTGGCGTGCTCCAGCACGCCGGCTAATGTTTGTATTTTTTGTAGAGACAGGGTCTCCCCATGTTGCCCAGGCTGGTCTTGAACTCATGGGCTCAAGTGATTCACCCTCGTCAGCTTCCTAAAGCGCTGCGATGACAGGCGTGAACCACCGTGCCTGCCCGCTTCCTCTGTTTATAAGGGTACCTACCAGTTTGCCCGCTGTCCACATGTGGCTGCATTTGCCTAATCTGTGTCATCGTTTCTTCATTTGCTGGACCACTGGGACGTCAGCTGCAGGCGGCAGGAGGCTCTGTCCCCAAATGTCTCCATGGATAAGGACGGGCACCATCCTGCCCACAGCCCCTCCACACCCCTAATCAATGTGACATAACGAGACACAATCACGGTTTCCAATCACATCCTTGGTGATTTTTTCAGGCCAGGGTCACCCCCGTCATGTCTGAAAAACTGCTGCTTTTTTCAGGCCAGGGTCACCCCCGTCATGTCTGCAATCCTCTTTAGTGCAGGATGCCAAGCCCAGCCTGGAGCCCAGCCTGTCTTCCCACAAAATGTCCTTCCAGTGACTCTCATCGTCTCTTCACAGCTGAACTCACAGAGGACGGTTTAGGCAGAAACCGCACACTGCCATGATGTCCCATGCCCCCTGCTGAGCAGGCCTGTACAGTGGCCACTCTGGTAGTAGGTGACCTATCCGCAAGGTGGCCGCAGCAGCCTTCAGTCCTAGTGTCTGACTGCCCTGGTCCAAGCTGTGCCCGCCTTGCTGGCCTCCTGGGGTCCGTGTACCCTGTTGACACATTCCCTTCTCCATGGCCCTCAAAGCACCAATGAAGACTTCTTCAAAGTGTCTTTATGGCACAGAGTCCAGACAAGCAGAGGTCTTTGTGTAGCTGTTGAAGAAAGAATTCCTCATGACATGTCTTAGTGTCCGTGAAGAAGACTGTACCACGGCGCAGCATGTGGTGTGGGCCCGGCCTTGGGGGAGATGGGGCTCAACTCCAATAAGCAGGTGGGGAGTGGAGAAGCCGAGGAGCAGTGTCGAGTCCGTGGGTGGGAATGGCTAACAGGAGACATCAGGGCTGAAGGGAGTGTCTGGCTAAACCCACCTCACAGGGTCCTTGCTGCAGGCAGGCGGGGTGATCAGACGTCACCAGGGGACAGTGGAAAATGAGGGACCCGATCACATGTCACCAAGGGTGAGCAGATATCCAGGATGTGGACTTCTGGCTAAACTGAGCTGGCAGGGCTCTTACTAAAACTGGATTTTCTAAGCAAGTGCACAGATGGGCCTAGGAGAAGGTTCCAGATCCCGGCCGGAGTTTGGCCAAGCAGAGAATCCCTGCCGTAGCTCCCTGCCGTGTCCCAAGGGCCTGGGCCAGCACCTGGCATGTCTTAGGTGCTCAGGTGACATTGGGCAGTCACCGAATTCCCACAGGCCCTGGACGTGGCCATGGAGGCCCTGCTGCCAGCCCACTCCCCCCGCTGCAGCGTCCCTGTCCCCAGAGCTCCTGCTCGCCCTTCTGAACCCTCCTCACAGCCTCCCCACCTGCCCCAAGCCTTGTGAGGTCCCGGGTCCCTTCCTGCCCAACCAGGAGAGAGGCCGGGCATGGTGAGGGACCTGGAGTGACTCAGCTGGGTCCCCCAAGGTCCCTGGGCCTCAGTCCCCTGCCATCTGCCACTTCCTCTTTGAGACAGGCCAGGCCTAGAATGCGCTTCCTAGCCGCAGTCGCCACTCCTTCCTCTGCTGGAGCCTGGCGTTCCTGAGGGTGACCCAGTGCATCCCAGGCAGCCCCACACGGACAGAGCAGAAGCCAGGCAGGATGACACCCGGGGCGGGGGCTGGCAGGGACAACACCCATAGGCGGGAGTCGAGTTCCTCCAGCCTCACGTCAGCCTGGGCCTCAGCCAGCAGAGGAATTTGCTTCCGCTCCTGCACAGGCAGCAGGAAAGGCACGCAGCAACCTGGCGCCC